CGAGCTCCCACCATAGGTCCGTTGAAGCCTTAAAAATCAACATAGTTTGATTGAGAGCCGCCATCGAGCCTCTCAAATCAGTGAATGACAATGAAGGTACCGCCGAGTTCTTCAAAGTCAAAATCGGGATTGCCGTCGAGCTCCCACCTGTGGGCCGGCTGAAGCCCTAAATATCAGTACAGCCTAGAGAGGCTGAGCTCATAATATACTCCCTCTTAAACAAGCAACAAATAAAGGAACACATTATCACAAGGGAAATAATGTAGGAGCACCAAAGAGACGAAGAGAAGACCCGGACGAAATGTCTACGTCTTTCCTTGCCTTTGGAAAAGCAACACATTGCTATTCCAAAGGACAAGTAAAGAGGGGCAGCTGTAGACACCCAATTTCGTCCGGGGTCACACAAACAAGGACATGGATCTTTGTTACGAAGGGAAGGAGCCCCTGGAGCATGCCAACGAGAAGACAGGACTTCAGAGGGCCCAAAAGCACAAATTAAATATTTTTATGGGCCCGGAACGGGCTGTTCCAAAATCGGAACGGGCCGTTCCAAGGTCCGGAACGGGCCGTTCCGAGGCATCCAAAAAGCCAAAAATCCTAATTTGGAACGGGTTGTTCCGAGATTGGAACGGGCCGTTCCTACATCTGGAACGAGTCGTTCCAAGGCCATTCCAGATCAATCACGTGTGCTTATTTTGGACCCCAGAACGGGCTGTTCTGAAATCAGAACGGGTCGTTCTAGTTCCCCGGAATAGGTCGTTCCGATTTTAGAACGGGTCTATAGTCTTCAAAAAAATGATCAATACATTGCTTCTTGTGTTGTGTTTACTGAACAGTGGTGCTAGTCATTCGGTTCATCGTATTCAAAATATAAAAAAAGAAGATTTGGAGTTGAAAGGACAACTTAAGCACATTAACAAAGATTATGTCAAGACTATTCATTTATTTCATAGCCTTCTTATATATCATCGTATGCTTTTTTTTTTAATTATTGAACTATATATCACAAAAGGTTTAATAATTTTATTTCTATATGTTGTATTTTTGATTCTATAGACAAAGTTTGGAGACATTGTTGATTGCATTGATATTCACAAGCAACCAGCATTTGACCATCCTTTATTAAAGAATCATAAGTTGCAGGTAGTATTCCTTCAAACAACCTTGAAATAGTTAACTTTTTTGTCTTTATTTGATTAAATTTCCTCATAATTTTGATATGTATATTTCTTTATTTGATTACAGAGAAAACCTAGCTTTCAAAATTCAATTAAAGACATAAACGTAGAGAAATTACCATCTACGCCCATATTTGGGCTTGAGAATGACCCATGTCCAACAGGATCTGTTCCTATTTTGAGAACAAAAGATGAACTCATTCAAAATAATTCACTATTAAATAATCATATCATGACTCAGGACATTCGCTGGACTCATGTAAGTTTTTTCATATATAACTAAATTTCAAATGTTTGTTTTATAAATTGTATTACACATTTATAATTGACTAATTATTTAAACATATTGAATCTTGTAGAAAGCTGAATTATCTACTTTATCAAGTTTGGGACCTTATTATGGAGTCGGCGGAAGAAATAACATTTATAAGCCAAAAGTTAATAAGGATCAAATAAGTGCTTCTCATTTGTGGGTTCGAAATGGAGGAAATATGATCAGAGTAGGATGGCATGTAAGTTTTAAATGATGCATTTATCACTCCCCACCCCCAACACCTCAATATCTACATGCATATCACTTAAAGTTTACAAAAAAAAATTAAATTAAATAATGAGATATTAAAAAAGTATTTTAGATGGAGTAACTCTTTTAATTTGTGTATAAAAATATTAGGATAATAATTATTATAGGATAAAAGGGTATTTAATTTTTGTCAAAATGATAATATTGAAAATAATATATATCTAATCAATCTCACATATTGGTGTCAGGTTGCTCCACAATTATATGGTAATGATGAGATATATTTTTACTCCTTATGGACGGTAAGGAAATGTTACATTTTTTTTGTTTTATTAATCAAGGAGCCAAAGGTCTAGGGAGGAACTTGAAAAGGAATCAACATCAATCCAGTTTCTCAACAAGGTTTCCATCAACATTAGTGGTCTAGAGGAGAAGAAGAATCATACAGAGAAATTAGAGAGAGAAAGGAGCTCACAGACCTAGAGGTCCTTCTCTCTAGAACTTCTCTCTAAAACCTCTCATTCTCCTCAACTTCCCACAACCCCTATTTATAGAAGTTTAGGAGTGGCCAGAACGGCCCGTTTCGAATCCGGAACGGCCTATTCTACACCCCCTCGTCATGTGCAAAAATCACGTGCAGAACAGCGCGTTCTTAAACCAGAATGACCCATTTTGGGACTCATCCAAAATGGCCCGTTCTCCATCTAGAATTGCTCGTACTCCCTCCAAAACGGCCCGTACTCCATCTAGAACGGCTCGTTCTCAACTACGATTTACAGGTCAATTTAGTAGTTTGGGGGCCCATTCTAGTTTGGGAATGGCCCGTTCTGGGCTACTAAATGACCCATACTGTGTTTTTGGGCCTTCTGAATAAACTTACTACGTTACAAAACCTCCTTGTAGTTAGCCTAACCAAAACAATTTTTATAAAATTGGTTTTTTTATAAATAAATATTAAGCTATCTAGTTCTGAACTTAAGCAAGTAAAAATGTCAAAATTCTAAAGAATAACAAGCTATCTAGCCGAATTCCTAAGGTGGAAGCTTGATAGGTACCAAAGACCTTCAAGGACCACTCCCACCAACTCTAACGAATTCTAAAGAAACTAGGGAGAGATAGTTGTGTACCTAAGGCACTCCCAAGACCTTCCAAAAGGCCAATTTTAAAGAAAGAGTTCAAGAAAATTTACAAGAAAGAATCAAAGGTGACTGAAAAAAAATGCAAAACAAATAGCCACCAAATTAAAGATTAACTTAGTGACGGGTTTCACAACACAAAATTTTGTGAGGAAAATTTTAGTCATTAATTTGGTCCCTAATTCTTGTTTTGTTTTTGTGTTACAAAATTTATTCCAATCAATTTTCCATCTCTAGAATTTCTTTTCTTTTGGTTGCCATTTCTCTCCAAATGTTTCTTTAAGTGTTTATGGTCAATGAACTTTCCTTGCCGAATTTTTCACTAAGTAGGAATCAATCTCCATGTCTTCCTTAGCTTCCTTTTGATGACCCTTGTAACTTTAGCTTCTAAAGGAGTTGATTAGTTCACAACTTAGCCAAATCTTGAATAGAACAAATTAGGAACTTCCTATAGCTCGAAATTTCTCTCTTTTTCTCTCTTCCCCTCTCTTTTTGTATTTCTTGAGATTTTTGTGAGGCATTGTAGTGTGAAGGGTTGCCAAAAAGCACCCAAATCTCCATCTTTGAAGATTAATAGAGCTCGTTCAAGAGGTATTCAAATCAATTTTCTTCTCTCTATTTTATTTCTTACATTTGATAAATATTGTTTATAATAAGAGCAATCATGTAGATATTTTAGAGTCAATTGTTAATTTAAGTTTTAAATCATGTAAATAATCATCAATAAAAGGGGATATAATATTTAATTTATTATTTCTTATCGCATTAACTTCATCATAGGGTACCGATTTAGGGCGTTGTAAGGGTTCTTAATACCTTCCTTACACGTAACCGAGCCCCGAACCCAATTCTGGTTATCAAGGCCATTATTGAATCTTTTAAAAATCTTTTCTTTTTCCAATGTTTTGAGTAAAACATTGGTGGCGATTCCATAGAACCTATTTTCAAAACCATTAATTAAGGATTAGTCTGGTGTCCGGGTTGCGACAGCTTGTAATTGGGCTTCATGGGCTTTGGGCTTTTGATACCCAATATTGGGCTCATTCTTCTTCTTGTAATTTTTCCTATTCATTGTATTTCTTTGACCAATGTATTTAGGTCATTATTAGATTAGGTTTTTACGAAGTATACATTAATAGGTGCATTAGGATTCATTTTTTATGTCATTTAGAAGTCATTTGATTTGAATTTGAGTCACATGGATTGCATGGTGAGGACCGGCCATGTGAACCCTAAATTCAAATCCAAATAACTTCCAAATGACATTAAAATGAAGGTGGAATCCGGATTAATCACATGATTGGCCAAAGTTTGAATTTCAAATTCAAATTTGAAATTCAAACTTGGCGCCAATTACACTTTCTCGGATTGGCGCCACTATAGCTTAGTTTCCCACCTATAAATGTATATTTCATGCCTTGTACTCTCACTTTTGAATATATTGAATTTCTAAATCATTCTTCAGCAATTCCTCAAGAGTCACCAAATTAGAGAGAAAAAGAAAGTGCCTTCAAAACCCTAGGACTTACCTAGTTCCTTCCTTTTGAAGTGAGCAATCTCTTGATTCCTTAAGCTTGGGTACTTCCTTCCAAGGCTTAGGCCTTTCAATCCGAAGAAGTTCTTCCTTCTAAGAGTACTTGATTTCAGACACAAGTTTCCTTGAAGTGGATCCGAGCTTAGGAGAAGTTAAGGAGAAGTTCTTCCATCACTTCTCTCACCTTCTCCATCAAGTTGTTGAGTAAACTTGTGGTGGGGGGTGAAACTAACAAACCCCATGCCAATGAGGGTCATGGGCCTTCTAGGCCCAAAAGGCATAATGGTGAAGGGCCTACTAAGCCTCATGGAGGCCAACATGAAGAAGAACCATCACGGCCCAAGAGTCACCATTCACACACTCACTTATCTTCAAGTGAAGGGTTTTATAGTAGTTACCATGATGATGACTACTATCAAAGACCCCCTAGGCAACATAGGCCTAGGCATGAAACAACCTCTCTTAGAAAACCTAGAGTTGACCTTCCTCCCTTCCATGGAAAAAATAATGTTGATGATTACTTAGATTGGGAGATGAAGGTTAAACAACTCTTCACTTGCCACAATGTGAGTGAAGAGAAAAGAGTTCCTATGGCCACCCTTAGTTTTCAAGGGAGTGCCTTAGAGAGAAGGCACATTCCTCCTTATTATGAGATAGAGTTAATGGACAAGCTCCAAAGGCTCCAACAAAGAAATCAAAGTGGGGAGGAATATAGGAAACAAATGGAAGAAGAGAAACTTAAGAGTGACTTCGGCTAGGGAGAGAAATGAAGAATATAACTCTCATATATGCTCAAAGTGAGAAATCTACATGGCCATAATGAATAAATAAGCATAGGAAGGAAGAGAAACTTAAGAGTGACTTCGGCTAGGGAGAGAAATGAAGAATATAACTCTCATATATGCTCAAAGTGAGAAATCTACATGGCCATAATGAATAAATAAGCATAGGAACCAAAATGAAATGATTCTTAGGTCATGTTTTTCTTGTTTCAATTTTCAAATCAATGACACAGCCTATTCCTCTATTTTCTAGAATTGCATTCAAATTTTGAATCACTTTTTTTTCAGCAAATAAAATGAAAAACAATACTAGTTACTACTAGAATGATTTCCAGATTCAAAAGTATTTTTAAGAACTTCAAAAATGACACAATAGAAACCTAACTCTACAAGAAGATTACCATTGATCTAATAGTAATCTATGAACTTAAATTAATCAAAATGAAATGAAACAAAGTTCATATTATCCCAGTCAAAAATAAAATTGCCGAATCAATTCAAACTCAAAAGAATCAAAATAAGTACTACTTGGAATTTCATTGACATATAAGGACTAAACATGACTCTAGACAATACTTGAAAAATTCAAAAACTAAAATGACTCAAACACTGCACATATGACTAAGAATGAAAAATCAATCAAGAGTCAACAAAATTAAAATGCACAAGGTATAAATCCTAGGAACAATTTATGTCATGATTCATATGAAGCAAAAACAAAGTGATGAACATATATGAATCATTGAAACAAGCGAAAGGTGGATCTATCAAATTTTGAATCAAAAATTAAATCCACTTAACAAAAAATCAAGACAATCAAGGATTAGACAAATTCACCAAAAAGAATTGATGGACTTATCTCTTGAAGTAACCAAGCTCTAGATACCACTTGATGAAGTCCAAGGTAGTCTTCAAGTGACTCTGGAATTATACTCCTTGATATCCTCTTGATCCTTGAAGGTTATTCAAGGAGAATCCAAGAACAACAAGAGAAGAAGACTCGGCCAAGATGCTCCAATCTTCTCGATTAGAAGAAGAGTTTCCTCCTAAAGCCATAAAGAGGAAATCTTAAGGAAACTTGAAGAGAAACTTAAGAGTGACTTCGGCTAGGGAGAGAAATGAAGAATATAACTCTCATATATGCTCAAAGTGAGAAATCTACATGGCCATAATGAATAAATAAGCATAGGAAGTGTGCTAAGCAAGCTAGGTTAAACATAAGGTTAAAATAAACCATGGTATGGTTTATTTAAACTTTATGCGCCCAAATTTGAATTCAAAATTCAAATTTGGGTCTAAAATCCTTGGCTTACCATGAACTTCATATGCCTCCATGTGATCACTACATTTGCATGTCATTTGAGTTGTATTTGGAGGTTAATTTAGATCATGACATGTGTGCCAGCCTTGGCCGGTCACATGTGCTCTAAATTCACCTTAAATGTGACTGAAATGACATGTAATGTAATGCTCACAATAATGAATCCATAATCTAATCCAAATGGCCAAAAATACGTGGCCAAAACAAAAACCTAAACTACATGACCAAAATACATTAGTTTTGCACTTAGACTACACTATAGTGAGGATCCTATTATTATGCTGAGAGAACCCATCCTTCCTACTCTAAGGACCCTTGTTAGGACTATAGAAGAAATTCCTCATAGGGTGCACTTTCCACATGTATTATAAGAATATATCGTTCCAAATGCTTTATTTCTTTATTTTGTAGGTGATGTTATCCTTGTGGAAGGACCATTGGATTTGAGGACAAATCCTTTTGAAGGGGGAGGGTATGATAGAAATCTAATCCCCAAGGATCCCTTTCGAAGAGGTAAGACCCAGAAGGG